GGGGGAGCGGAATTGCAGATCTCCGCCTGGAGCCCCCCACCGTCACCTGCCAGCCCCGCTCACTCCGGTCTCCCCGGAGCCGCCTCGCAGACGTCCCTCCAAACCCCCCCACCGGAAGACCTGCGTCTGTAGCCCCCTCCCCAGTACCTACGGGGACCCTCTTCCTCCTGCCCCACCTTGGATCTTCCCCCTCCACCTGGTTCAAGGTGGCCCCCTCCAGCCCCTCCCGCGTGGGTGGTCTCCAGGTGATCTATAGGACTGTTGACCATAAAGGACACCTTCCTCCTCCTGCCCTGGCCTGTACTGACTGGGGGCTTGGGTGTGGTCGCTAGGAGGCAGGGTCTCTAAATTTTACTCCTGCCGAGGCAAAGACACCCCTAGGGGCTTCGGAGAGACGGGTCTCCCAGCCTCTCCCTGGTTCAGCTCTTCTGGCCAGCCCAGCTTAATCTGGCTGACTTTCAGGAACTCCACAGAAGTACGACCCCACCTTCAAAGGACCCATTTACAACAGGTAAGGGCTCTGGGTTCCCGGGGGGAGAGGGGAGACCCTGCTCATCAACTGTCCCTGTTTCTTCACCACCACCACCCTCTGTTCACCAGTAAATATTTGCAACTTGATAAAAGAACTATTTTCCTTAAATATTTGCAACTTGATTTAAAAAACTAATTTCCTTAATAGAAGTCCTTACAAATGGATTTTTAAAACAAGCATCAGACTGGAACAGATCATTTATAGAACGAGAAATACTGTAGACAATGAATTTATGGAAAGATGCTCAACCTCACTAAAAAATAAAGGAATGCAATTTAAAACAATAGTCAAGTAGAATTTCCCCATCACGGATTAGCAAAGATTTAAAAAGATTGACTTATTCTGCTCTGAAACAATCTGGTGCAGTCTTTTTTCAGGAGGGAATTTGGAAATAGGAAATCTTTTTTTTTTTTTTGTCTTTTTCCGTGTCCGGCAACGGGATCGCAACCCTCGGTGTTGCCCCCGCGCCTCGCTCAGCCAGTGAGCGGGAACCGGTCTGTATGTGGGATCCGAACCCTCAGCGGGAGCGCCTCCGCCCTTCCCAAGCGGCGCACCAGCGCAGTGCGCCACTGGGCCGCCCCGGAAATAGGAAACCTTAATGTACATCTCTTTGTTCTAAAATTTTTAATTCTGGGCCGGCCAGTGGCTCACTCGGGAGTGCGAG